CGCGGCCATCCGCGGTGCCCGGCCGGTGAAGTAGGAGACTTGATTGAGCCCAGGAGTTGGAGGTTGCTGTGAGCTGTGATGCCACAGCACTCTACCCAGGGTGACAGCTTGAGGTTCTGTCTCAAAAAAGTAAAAATATTGCTGAGCCATAGTAAGACTAGTAATCCAAGTAAGCAACAATCTCACTGTAATCTTTTCTATATCAGGTTGTAAAATAAAGCAGAATTTGAAAATTTATCACTTAACGGTTATTAAAATTAAGTTTACTTTATGGTTTTGTTGTGCATAGGCATCTATTAAATTGTTTTTGGACCAATCTGGCATTTGTGATACGTCAAGGGATATTTGGTATGACTGTTAAACTGTCAGGCCTGTCAGTGGCACTTTATATATATATATTAATCTAGTGTAGCTTGCAAGACAGTTGGACCTTTTTCTTGATTTCATGTAAGATTGGAAGAAACATTTAGTAACATTGAGTTACAGTGAATTGCTTCATGGATACCTTGTATATAACTGACACTTAGTGAAAATGGTTTTGGGATTGAGATGGACTAGTTTTTGCCAGTTTATCCTTTTTACTGAAAATAAAAGTTTAAAAATTATTTTTAGAGAATAAATTCAAAAATTCTATATTTACTCCTGTTAGGGAACCTATTGATAATCTAACTCCTGAGGAAAGAGATGCAAGAACAGTTTTCTGCATGCAGCTGGCAGCAAGAATTCGACCAAGGGATTTGGAAGAGTTTTTCTCTACAGTTGGAAAGGTATTATTTGCTTATTTGGAGAGGGCAAAAAGGCGAAAATTTTAAATGTCTTAGGAGTTGATAGCATGATAGACAAAGATGAGAAGACATCTAAATGCCATATGCTTGATTTAGCACAAATTGTTGTAATGCTTTCATTCTGCATCCAGAAGTTAATAGGGTTGGAGTTTATTGTTAACCACATTTGTAAAAAGATAAATGGTCCTACCAATTTGCTTTTTTTAATTGAAAAACAATTAAAAAATTAAATGGTTTTGTCCTTTGATGCACCTTTTTGAAATAAGTACATGTACATAGCTTACGATGGATGTTTGTACAATAGAACTATGTTAAGTATGCCTTTTCTTTTTTAGGTTCGAGATGTGAGGATGATTTCTGATCGAAATTCAAGACGTTCCAAAGGAATTGCTTATGTGGAGTTTGTTGATGTTAGCTCAGTGCCTCTAGCAATAGGATTAACTGGCCAACGAGTTTTAGGAGTGCCAATCATAGTACAGGCATCGCAGGTAATTTTTTCATGGTTAATAATATTGATTGGGGCCTGGGTACAGTGGCTCATGCCTGTAATCCCAGTACTCTGAGAGGCCAAGGTGGGTGGATCACCTGAGCTCATGACTTGGAGACCAGCCTGAGTTAGAGAGAGACCCCATCTCTAAAAATAGCCAGGCATTGTGGCAGTGCCTGTAGTCTCAGCTACTTCAGAGGTAGCTGAATCACTTGAACTCAAGAGTCTTGAGATTCTTGGGGCATTTTTCTACCTGGGGCAACAAAGTGAGACTCTTGTCTCAAAAAAAAAAAAAAAAGAATATGGATTGGATTAGAAGCTTCCTGTTGCTTGGTATATTATGCTTTGTATACATTAATCACTGCTGTTTACCTTGAGTCATATATTTGAAGGACTTGTTCTTCTTTTCTATTGAGACAGTGTCTCACTATGTTGCCTTGGGTAGAGTGCTGTGGTGTCACAGCAACCTCAAACTCTTGGGCTTAAATGATTGTCTTGCCTCAACCTCCCAAGTAGCTGGGACTACAGGCACCCGCCACAATGCCCATCTCTCTCTTTTTTTTTTTTTTGCAGTTGTCATTTCTGTTTAGCTGGCCTGGGGTGGGTTTGGACCCACCAGCCTCGGTGTATGTGGCTGGCACTGTAACCACTGCTTTGGGTGCCAAGCCTAAATTTAAACAGTAATTTACACTACCATCAAGTAATTTGAACTACCATCAGTTCTAGGATATTTCTTGAAAATTAGATACTGCAATCTAATTTGGAGAATATCTGTTAAAGATAATCCCAGTTTTTCATATATATATAAAATGCATACTATATATATATATTTTTCTTTTTTTTTTTTTGAGACGGAGCCTCAAGCTATCCCCCTGGGTAGAGTGCCATGGCATCACGCTCACAGCAACCTCCA